AATAGAAGCTTTTAAATCTCACATTCGATTAAAGCTATAAAATTATAAGCCAATAAATATCATTACTTCCCTTGTAATTATTTAATATTACGAATAATTTAATAAATATTACTAACTTTTAGTAAGGAAGCTATGATTTAACTTAAAAATATTTTATATTTATTTTCTCACTTTACAAACACAGCTTGTAAGTTTTTAAATGTTCAGGATCCAGTTATTCCAGATATGAATAATAATTGAATTTTAATATAATAATAAAATAATAAAATGCTGTTTATGCTACGAATAAAATTACATTGAACATCAACGTAAATAATTGGAGAAAGTAGCCGCAGTTGGTGATAAAATTACGTGTACATCTTTTTACTCATTATGTTACAAAAATCATAATTGCAATATAAAATAAATAGCCACGAAAATGCACGAACATTTTGTAAATCAACGTCAAGCTTGCATATTTTTCAATAGGTATCGTACCACTTTGTTAAACACAACCGTACAAGTCTCAGGTAATGCCAAGAATTATGCATTATGCATGCATACACGTAAATTATGACGGGATAATTTGGTCAGACAAATTAAAAATAGCCGCAATTTATCCTCAAAACTGGCTTCCCCCTATCCCCACCTCCCATACATTACAACGAAGAACTTAACGACCTTCCAAGCACATCGAACTTTCCTCGAGTCGACGAATGGCTAATCCGCAGCTCAGAAAACGTGGTCCATCCCTAGCAGTCTCGGTAGTTCTGCTCATGAGAATAAAACATACATAGAGCCAGAACGAATATCTCCATCGATCCTTCCTTCTCTCCGCGTAGCTATACCCATTAATTGCCACTAGGTGCGCACTCCTTGCCGCCCACGCCAATTGCGACAGGAGAGCCAAGGAGACGAAGCGACTCGTCCGAGGGTTGCGATTGTTAGCCTTCGACTCGGTCGACCAAACGCCTACAGTCGCGCTCTTACTACCAATCAGCGACCTTCCAGCTCGTTTCGCCCTGGTGAGCCACGATCTCGCAAGCCCCGTGGCCTTCTTGGGGGCGCGGACCATCAACGGCGTCGGCAAGGACGCCCCGATAGATTGCGTCTTCCCATCTGGATGAAAGAGTTCGACCGTCTCGGCCAAGGTGGCTTTTAGAGAAGAGGCACTCGTCTCACTTTCCCCTCGCCGTTATTTTCTCTTAGCAAACGACCCACTTTCGCTGACAGCTCTAATGACTAATCGGGTATGTGTCGCTAATGCGATGGAACAAACTTTCGTGCTATTCGCGTTAGAAAAGAAAATCGGTGGGTCGATCTACGTCCCGTGTCTTTTTTCAGCGCCAATAAGATCTCTCGTTGTTTCTCTTTCCCTGCTGCCATCGCCTCTCTCCCCTTCCTGTCTCGTTTATCCTTGGAGAGATCGTGTGTCATTTGCTCGTGCCAATAAGGGACTGATATCTTCATCACCCCTCACCTATTTTTATAATTTTTAGCGCACACGACAATTCCCGACACTCACCCTTTATCTATGCCTTATGACGTAATTTTACCGGATTACTTGTGCGAGATCTGCACTCGCGCGAAAAACGCACGCACGCATGGCCAACTCGGTATTAACGAGATCATAATCTCTCCTTGCAATATAATTAGTAACTAAGTGAGTTTCTGAAAGAGCAATGGCATAAATTAGTTCTGTACTTGACTTAAGTAAATTTATAGTACAAACTGTACTTAAGACTTTTATTGCTCGTTCTTACTTAATTAAGGAAGTATAAATTAGGTCTACATTTGGCTTGTAATTTAAAACAAAGATTTTCGATCATAAATATTGAAGCGACTTGAGCTATGAATGCCTAACGTAACTGCCATTAGTCGCTAGCTTAACAATGACAGCGGGAAATGATCGATTAATGAAATTAAGCGAATTTTACGGTAATAAAAATTTGAATGGGTGATTGTTGGTGCTCTATCGGACGGAGCTCGTAATCCCAAATTCAGGAGCCGACGTGGATGATGGACACGTGACTCGGATGTAAGTGATAATAGTGCAAGACGATACATGGGAGGAGACTATAATATACGATTATGAAAATATTATAAGAAACGATTCAATGGCATCGTTATAATATGAATCATACAATTATGAATTATTACTGTGAATACTGAGATCTGTAATAATATCCATAAAATAAGAATATGTTATTTATTGCAAAAGTGGAATCAACGAATGTAGAACATATGGTCTGGTATATGTTTCCGACAAATCTATCTTGCAAATCGACTCTATCTTACCTAATAAAGAAACACTAGGCATTATTTAAAGGGTAAAATAAAAAGAGCATGCAACAGCAGATATTATTAACGTGCAAACTAAATAATAAGAATAATTGTTATTAATACACGTAATAATGCACGTTATTTCATAATTATTTAATCAAATAAAAAGCCATCGTAATACAATTAAATTACTATACTTAAATTAGCAACTATGTTAAGGGCGATTGAAATTTGTTTTTAAGATTTTAGGAATTTTAAATATCTTTGTTATAGATTAATTGACAAATATGTAGTGAATTGAATTATATTTGTATCGATAAATTTCAAAACTTTACGTTTTTTCAGGCACAATCTAAGTGCTTATAAATATTGATGCATTATTTGCATCGCAAGGACTTTATATCTTCTGTTGTATTAAGGGCGAGGATGTTGTTATAATTACAGTGATTATAAATTCTCTCGGTTATTCATATACTTACTGATAATACAAACCCACCCAAATCACACAATGATTTTCTGAGAATGTAATTGATCTTCGGTATGACGGTATACTGTTTGCATTAACGACAATGACGATTTACTTTTTCTTAAATAAAAAAAATAATGGTAAACTTTACTCGAAAGTATTTGAATTTTTATATGCAAAATGGACTTATTATTTCTGAATGTCATAACAAAATGTGATTCCTGAAATGAAAAAAAAAGTGGAGACCAATTTTATCGTAAATTAGAAAATATTTAAGTCTTAATTTTTTTCACTTTTTATAATCTGAGATAGTATTTGCATATGTATTAATTCCATGTAAAAATAAAAGTTAATGCGTGTCACTAATCTTTCATTATTTGTAGAATAATTATTACAATAAACTAAATGATTACAGCATAAGTAAGTATTTTATCGTTTAAAAATTTTGTTAATAAAATTTTACCGAATTGTTCAATCCGATCACAGTTAAATATTAAGTTATTACACATATTGAAATTGTAATAATTATTGTCGAGGCAATAGGATCTTTAAAGAGGACTAGTGGGTTAATTAAAAAAAAGAAAAAATCTTTTTTCCATGCTTGATGTACGTCGATAGTAGTAAAAGTATGTAATTATGTTAATAGCTAATAGGCCTTTAATAAAATTCACATTTTCACGTAATAGTTAAATATTCATTCCTAAATAGCCGTACGAAAAAATATCATTAACATTATTTGAAATGAATTCTGTGTATATCTTTTTTTTTTTGTTTTTGTTTTTATCTTTTAATAGTTCTTGTGACGTTGGTAACCCATGGTAACGGCATTTTTACAAATGCCTATCAAACGAAGGATCAAAGCTTATAGTTGAAAATTATATTGCGTTGAAAATACCCGGAGAAATGGCATAAGTATTTTTACAAATATCGCGCGGCAGAGTTGCTTGACGTCAGGCTAAGTATATTTAGAACTGAAAATTAATAAGACCAGCGCGAGAGTAATTGTTCCGTACAGCTTGTCTCTAATGCTATTACGTTCGCCATTAATAAAACCTCGTTTCATACTCAGGGCCTGCAGTTTTATTTATTTCGAGTAGCCTCTCTTTCTTGGCCTACGAAAATATCCGCCGTCAAATGCTCGTCGGCATTACGTATCGCAACGCATTGTCATCGAGCGACTCGACCTCCCTCCCTCCCTCCCTCCCCCCCTCCCCCCTCCTCGCTGCCATCCGACGAGGGAACGACTTCCCAAAGGAAGACGGCCTTTGTCGCACATTGCGCATTGCGAAGTCGCAGTTACTCGAGGTGCAGTCGATAATCGGGGATAATAAGCAATTGGGTTGAGTGGCGCGCAATTCCCATCGAGGCTCGTTAATTTCAGCGGCTAAAATGGGTCAATCCGAGGAATCTCGTTTTCATTGGAACACCCTAGGCGATTGCTGAATCGAGCCTTCGTCGCGAAGCTTCGGAACGCGTCTAGAGGTTACATCGGGACGTTATGAAGCGCGAGGAAGTTTATAAACTTTCGGGAACCACAGTTATTTTTGTCCTCGGTTGGTCGCGGTTATGCGCGAACGAGTTTCTTGACTGATAATTTGTCATTAGTGGCGTTATTTGTCACTGGAAACTTTCGTAGATGCAGTCATTAATAGCTCATAATCTGTCATAAGTCATAATAATGACTGGGTTTATAAGATGTGGGATTGTCTTACGAAGACAATGTAAATATTGTGTATGGCCAGCATTTGTTATTGAATTAACTATTTTTCATCGAGGACTTGTGTTTATAATGTTAACTTGTCGTTTAAAGAATATTGCAAATTTTTCTTTATGCTTTCAGCGTATTGGCTTTCAATGGACGAAGCGTATGTAAAATAAAAAATATTGCTGGTGATGCTTATCTTGTCAATGAGATATGATATTTGATCTGCGAAGGGAAGCTGTGAATATTCACACATTGGCCAAAATAATTTAATTAAAGTAAAAAGAAAGTAAAATTATATAAGTTAATAATCTTATTGTATAGAAATGTTTTTGTTAGTATGAGACGTACACCATTTCCAGCATCAAAAATGAAATATAATTTTATGTTAACGACGACAGTAGTGAAATGAAGGTACATGAATGGTTAATCAATTTTAATGTTAAGATTGTAGACTCGCTAATATTAATCAGAAATTTTAACTTAGATTATTCTCTCTACTGATTAATTATACTATAGTGGTTAGTTTAGTACTTTATTACGTTTCTTTTGTCTTAAAAAAAGACTCACCGAGATATGACAACGATTGCAAGGAATCTGAAACAGTAAAATAAAAATGGTTAATCTCATCATTTTGTTCATCGGATTGTTTTATTTGCCTTTCTTTTATATAAAAATCAGTCTTGACTTTCTTTCCTATATTAAAGTATAAAAAGAAAAAAGAATAATATTGATTCCATTAGCAGTATAATATCTTCAATCATAATAGCAAAGTTTAATTATACGCAATATTGATAATCACCGTGTTGTTTAAGTGGCTGATATGAAGAAATTATTAATCAATTATTAATCGTCTATTATGATTTGCTTTATTTACGCACTATTTAGGAAAAAAAAACAAATATATATACATATATATATATATATATATATATATATATATATATTAAAATGTATCGAGTGTTTCTTACGAACTTTTTTAGATAAATTATTTTTAAACATATTTACTAAATCGACTATTTTTGATATACTAAATTAAAAAATGTCAGTTTATAAAAATTTCAATATTATATTTTTATCAGTAATAATTTTGTACAATAGAATAAAGTTCTAAAAATCAAAGTAATTTTGATTGTAATTCATAATTAAATATTATCATGTCTTATGAAATCATTCATTATCTACCGAGCGAATCAAATAATTTCTTATAATTATTTCAGTAATATAATGGATATTATGTAACAAAGAAGCATTATTTTTGGAATTTTACTTTATTCAACAATTCATTTCTATTAAATATACATAAGAATTTTTAAATCAATTAATTAATTCTTAGTGACTTGACTAAGCTTAACTAAGCTGCAATTACTGTTCCATAATAAATTGCTATTTAACTATCTTAAATTTTATAAACTTTTTTTTTTATATATATTTATATAAAATATTCGGATATTATAAAGTTTTTAATTCAATATATTATATGGCGAAAATATTTATATTATTTGAATATATTAAATTATTTAAATATGTTTATTCGAATAAATTTATTGCAGCTTTATGATATTAACGAATATCAAATCTCATCAACTACACTTACGCAGCAGATATGTATTTTTCACTATTTATATTAAAAAATGTCTGTAGTATACACAATCTCGTGTCTTGAATGATTAATATCTTTAGTGTTTTTTTCTTTCATTTATTTTTATTTTTTTTTTAGTTTTTATTTAATTAACATGTTTTGGTTTTCGTCACAATATTATATGTTTATCAATACAAAATTATCATCAATATCATTCAATATCACGTATTTGCGAATGATCAATAGATCATTATGTATACATTTTCCTACAATCGTAAATACAGGCATATGTAAGACGATAATAGATGTAACAAAAGGTTTAATTTTGTTACACATGTATACCATCTACCGTCAGTTAAATGCGCATCAATTATATTATAAATAGAATTTATCCGAATTCTAAGTAAAAACATTACACCATAGTCTTTTGCCATATTGTATTAATGCAAGTGAACAATAAATTTCATTAGTAATAATGTAAATGCATTCAATGCAATATGCATAAACTCGTATTTAATCTTTATCGACTAATTCTGATAATCCCCGTTCATCTTTATGTGCGTCATTCAATTTTTTCGTTTCTCTTCGCATGTCCAAATACACATTCGCGCACACGTGCATATGCGCACGTAAATACAGGCCAGACAAACTAAACGTTTAAGAGCACAAATTAAATCAGGCCAGAGCGAAAGGCGCATTAAAATAGGTAACGTTTCTGCTGACACTTTTGCTTCTTTAAGCGAGCGGACCACCGGCGTTTGAGATGTGCGTTGACGCACGAAAAGTCGTCAGCCAACATTTTTCATTTTGAATTCGTCTACGTCAACATTGAGAAACGGGAATGAGCGCTAAAACTCGTAGCTCTTGATTTTGTGTCTGTCTGTCTGTCTGTCTGTCTGTCTGTATGTCTGTCTGTTTATCTGTATGCGAATGCTCGTAATGAAGAGTCGCTGGTTTATGGACGTCTGTCTCAACTCTTCTTATCGTTACTTTAGCAAGCAATCAAGGAACGATGAAATTGATGGAAATATGACTCGCCATGATGCCAGATTTGGGATGTCTCTTTGAAATACCGCCGTCCTTGTTATATCATACTTTCTCCCAGTAATTATTGCGTTTTAAAAATTTAAATATCTATTTTAAGTTGTTTTTGAATGCATATATATATATATATATATATATATATTTTTTTATATATAAAATACACCATATATATATTTATATATATTTATATATAAAAATATATTTTAATTAGAATTAGAAAATGAAGAAAAATAATTTTTAAATTATAATGTTTAGCATATATATTATTATAAATTATTTTTCTTCATTTTCTAATTCTAATTAAAATATATTTTTAGTAACTTCATAGACGTAATTTTAATTAGAATTGCACATAAATTTCTATGATTATGAACAGGAATTATGAGTTGGAAGATTTTAATAAACATTTATATAATTTCCTTCACAAATTTCATCAGATTATTAAATGACAGGTTAAATAAGTAACAGAAAAATGATTCCGAACAATAAACTTACTAATTAATGCTTATTATACAAGCATTATTTTCATTAACGAAATCGCATGCTTATACGTCGAAAACAATTATAAGATAATAACATTTTGTATAAAAATTTTTATATAGCATTGATTTTGTTCGATGAAATTTAATTAAATCTAAAAATTCGAAATGCTTAGAGAAAGACAATTTTTTATGAAAATTCTATAATTAATTAAAATATTTTAGAAAGCTAAACAATTTTGTAAGCATTCCTATAATATGTTGGTATTACACAAAAAACAAAATCAATTTGTAATTCAACACTTATTTATAAAGTACCTCATTGCTTTAATATAAATAATGTGTTCGTAAACGATCTATAAGCTATTGGTTCTGAACCTTATCTATGTCTATAATAAATCACAATTCAGAGGAAAATAACAAAGGCACGCCGCTTTTGTAATATTAATGAACGGAGGTAAAAAAATCAATTGCAATTGATATTTGATTGTATTTGATTTCTTCGAGTTCCATTATTAAGATGTAGTTGTTTGGTTAGTATTAATGTGATACCGATGTAATAGTTGTGAACTATTTCGCTTCATTTAGACAGTATGATATCGTAAGAACACATTACAATTAATTTAGTAGCTGATACAGAATGCACTTTTCTTTGATATTTTAATTGAGAAGCTAACATATTTAATATAGTTTAAATTTTAAAATGTTTCTATTTAAATTTTCATGGAAAACTTTTATTTCGACTAGTAAATAATTTATAGATCCGTATAACTTATTTCTGTTTACAATGTTCAATGTTAAATGAAAATGTTAATCGTGTTTTCTAATAAACCTTGAAGAATAGTAATAACGTTAATATATATTATATAAATATGAAAATTTGCAAAGGATAATAAGATTTGCTATTTTTACAATAATTCATTTCATAATTCATAGGAATTAAACTGTTTATTAATTGAATTTGTTTCAAACAGTGCTTAAAATTTAATTTTGCATTTCACTTTAATCCTATTATTACATATTTTAATAATTGTAATGTTTTTATAATTGTACAGTTAATTTATATAATAATTATTCGTTTGAAAATATCACTATATATAAATTATTATACAATATCAAATTTTAAAATACTAGCTATACGACATATTTATTACAAAAAATTATTTACAAAAATAGATTAAGATTTTTCTATTATAAAAATTAAATATAACAGAAGCCTAATAAATAATATCAAAGAGAGATGATCAAAAAGTAGGTATGCTCAATAAAAAATATTTTTTAATCTAAGCTCTCTCTTACCATGTAGGATTGAATCTATGTGGTATACTTACAAGACTGGCAATTCACTTTTTATATTCAAGATAAGGAAAAAAGTAGTTACACTTACACGCGCAGATATCATTGCACACTCGTGGCTTCTCCCCTCCGCCCCCTTTTCTTTCTTCTTCTTCTTCTCCGAGTTTATATACGTATTGCGGATATTAGGTAACAGCATTAGATGTTCAACGTGGTTGTGTCAAGGTCCACTCGCGCACACGTGTACGTAATATATGGATTTCACGTCCATTACGTATCAGCAGATACGTAGCAAATAATGTAGTGGTTTTCGGGTGAAAAAGCTTTCAATGAATCTTTCCTTTTTCATATATAAATAGAGTCATGATAATACTCAAATTATCAATTAGCCTATGCTTGATAATGAGTCTTGTGAACTACTTTACGAAACCTTTAGAATAAAACTTTATTCTATATAACAATATTGTCCGTTGTTAAGTTTTTGCTCACCGCTGCTTTTAATAGCAGCAAACTACCACATGATTGATCTTTACACTTTGAACTTTAAACGTCAGAAATTTCGGCATGATAATAAGTGATTTCTGGATTATTGTTAAAAGTTTCGAATTACCATAGTCGCCGCTTTCCCTATGAAATATATACCATTTAATATCATAGAGTCGAGAAATAGCTAGGGGAACACGTTTTATAAGACGCGGATCAAATGATAATTTCGTATTATCACTGATTACCAATCTGAAAGTAAAATTAAGTATGATTATTATTAAGTAGTCTGCATATTCGATGATATACGAGCTACGCAATCGTATTTCTGCATCACCGACCAATGCCATATACTGTGTTTTACAATGAGATTCCCCCATGTAATTTCGAACAGTGTTATGCAATTATTAAAAACGAATGAATTTATCAGAAGCTAATATCTTGGAGGCTTTTTATAAATGACGTTATTCTATAGAAATATTTGTACGAAAAAAGCAAGCGTGAACAATGGTATTTAGTATTAATGGGACAGCATAGTATAAAGCATCTGTACAATTTATGTCGAAAGGCTTATTTGACAATCTCGTTATTTAAAATAATTAAACCTAGTAGAATTCACAAGTATTCAATGATTTTATTACTTAGTAAACAGTATTAACAAATTTTAATATTACATCTTAGCTACTTGGAAGAAAAAAATTCGAAAAAATGAG